TGGGGTCACTATGGATCAGACTTGTTTTTCCAGCACATTCCACAGATGCTTCATTGGATTGAGATCTAGAGAATTTGGAGGTCTAATCAACACCTCAAACTCGTTGTGTTCCTCAATGATGATCTATGCTATAAGGAATCTTTTTAACTGTGATGAATGACTTTCATTCATGATAGCTTGCTTACTCATATACAAGAACTAACCAAGTATCAGAGGGCCACAGGCACCATATCCCCATAAGGAAACTAATCACATATAGGAAAAGAAAGAAAGGGGACTTTTTTCATCTATCAAGAGCAGTAATTTAAATTCCAATGCATAGAGACACTCAAAAGGGGAAAAAGGAACTCCTGCACTTCCATATGGAGACTATAGAGAAAAAAACAGCAAATAGGAAAAGCAGGGTCACCCACCATACCACACCATTATCAATTGTAGTTGTTAAATTAATCAGCCTGTTCTTTTGTAGTAATACATGTTGCAGTATTCATAAGTCGCTAGTAGAAGCTTGTGATTTGACTGCATACACCCTGTAACTGCTTGGAAATATTATGGTGGCTATATTGTGTTTTCTATCTTGGAAATGTTTTTGGCAGCTTAAAAATCCCCTTGCTTACTATTAGTTCTCAAATGGTACAAGGTGGCTGTGAATTGCCTTGTACAGTATGATAGTTGTGGGACAATCACAGTACAACAATAGTAAGCAAGCTGCTAATAAATTAAATCCATTCATGACAGTTTGTTTACTTTGTTATCATGTGATCACACCATAAGGAATTGCACTACTGCACTGCAGGGGGCACACTACTGCACATGCCCAAATTGGCATACAGGTATCTTGCTGTGCATGCACATGCTGCTAGCCTGCAGTAAAAGTACTGTAGATGGGGCAGCAAGTGGATCAAGTCATTTATGAAAGATGGTAAAAAAATATTAGCTGTGATTATTTTACCAAACATATTATATTAGAGTGTGGAAATATACAGTTTTATTGTCAGTCTTATTCCCTAGTTGCATATCCTAAGCAATGGAGGACTAATGTTCAAATTTTATTCACATTCCATTTGAATAGAGAATATGATATTTACGTTCAATGTAGTATTATATGCATGAGTGGTCATTCAGAAGAACCCCCAGGGATGCTGTAAAACCCTCTAATTATCAATGTGAATGTATGTTGATATGAGAAAGGATTTTCCTTTTCAATGCTTTTTCCTGTATACTCGTAATCTCTTGTATGTAAAAACTAATAAAATGTAAGTATATGTTAAAAATAAAAAGTGTCACGATAATCCCTAATACATCAGGCTATGTAACCTATTATCTAATCCCTAGAGGCTTTATTACAACCACAAAATTAGGGGGATGAAAAAACTTTCCAAAACCTCGGACTTTAAAGGTGCCCAATGATGTACTACATGTACAGTACTGTTAAAAATGAATCTATTTATTCCATTTACAAAAACATTTTGCCTTGCACAAAATTTTTCTTTTTGTATGCAAGCATATAGTACATAAAAACTCTCTAAATAAGTTTTACAGCATATTGCTATTTTTCCCATCTTATTTAATAACATTTGACTTCTTCCATTACTTGACTTTATAATATAGATGTTCACAACAGCTTTGGCAGAGGGGAATTAAACAATTTGTCACAACTCATTTTGTAGATCCAATATACTGTATACCACTTCTTTGGGTTCTGTGCAACTATAAACCAAAATTAAATTTTTATTTAAATTAATAATTTTTTTTCTCAAAATAACATTTGTTTTATTAAGTATTTGTAGACAAATGAACATGAAAGAACCCAGTATAAATATGCTCATAGGTACACAAGTATCAGAAAATGTAGCAAAATCAGATCAAATTATAGATAAACATCAAAACATGCTAATACCTTTGTTTTATAACCACGAAAAATGGAGTCCAGAGCCTAGGGTTGGTGTTGTGTGGTTGAAAGTGGTTCCTGCCCCTGCCAAAAGCTGTTGTGAACATCTATACTATCAAGTTCAAGTAATGGAAGAAGTCAAATATTATTGTGAAACTTATTTTGATAATTTTATATACTGTATGTTTGTGTACAAAATTAACATTTGTTGGGCAAGGTGAAATGCATTGTATGTTTAAATGTTTTTATACATATAATAAATTGGTGAACTTTTAACAATATTGTAAATGTAGAACATCATTGGGCACCTTTAAAGTTTTGGAAAGTTTTTTCATCTGTTGGAATTTGAATGAATGATGGTGCCCTCCTAAGCTACTCTGTTTATTGCTGTCCTAGAAGATTACTGATAGCAAAAGAGGTTCTATACTTCTGTGTGTTTCTAATGTAACAGTAACAATTTATGTGCTATACTGAAATGTTTATTACTTTCTTTTACTTTCAATTGGCTTCCAAAACTGAAGTGGCATCTACTTCAAAAAACAAGCTGATAAAATACTAGTGAGTTGCTTTTAGAGCAACAAAAGCAAGGGCTCAAGGGTGAAGATATGAAGACATCCCCACTGTCTAGATGGAATTTTTGCATTTTTTCTTGTGAAATGTGAAAGCCCTGTTTAATTTTAACGTGCTGTTTACAGGCAAGAAAACTCTATTAAATAGCACTTTGCAAGGATCAATTATATGTGGTAACCCTCAGAAATCAGATGTCATCATTCAAAAGATAGTGTAATCAAACTAATGAAAACAGTTCAGAGATGGTTTGATATGGCTTTCTGCATGTCATTGCTCTCTGCACTACATGATTGCATGAAATCCATCAAGTGAATATTCCCTCCTAATTCAACTAGGGCTAATGCAGGACAAGTAGAGGAAATTAAATGAGAATTCTACATTTTTTTCCTCTGGTGCAGTGTAGACATTGAAATTTGTTGCTAAAGACAATATTACTTGTGCTTTCTTCCTCCTCATGTATATGTAATTTTTTATCTGTGGCCTAGCTTGAAGTAAATGTGATTAGCGATGCATTTTGTAGATGTACATTATGGGGTTGATTTACTAAAACTGGTGAGTATAAAATCTGGTGCAGCTGTGCATGATAGTCAATCAGCTTCTAACTTCAGCTTGTTCAATTAAGCTTTGACAAAACAAAAAAAACTGAAAGCTGATTTGTTTCTATGCAGAGCTGCACCAGATTTTGCACTCCCTAGTTTAAGTAAATCAAACCCCTGTATGTATATCATGTGAAAGACCTACTACATTTTCACTATTGTGCAAGTGTAAGTGTCTGTACCTGTAACAAAACTGAGATATTTGTTTTTGTAGCTGCTACTGCCATGTTAGGCTAAAGAGGTCACCAAAATGATATCTGGTAGATTTCATATTTCGAATTTATGGCAGGAAGTCGGATGTATATTTTATAATATCAATGAATGTTGTTTAAAAAAGTATTTATCATAAAACCAAAATATGAATGTTAAGTAACTAAGTCTAGTGGGCCATAGAAACAAAACTGAGATATTTAACATATTTGTATTGTAGCTCCTACTGCCATGTTAGGCTAAAGAGGTCACCAAAATGACATCTGGTAGATTTCATATTTCGAATTTATGGCAGGAAGTCAGATGTATATTTTATAATATCAATGAATGCTGTTTAAAAGGTATTTATCATAAACCAATATATGAATATTAAGTAACTAAGTCTAGTGGGCCTTAGTGATTCCCAGAAATATATACATCATATAACAGTTGAGCGCAATATATAATATATATATATATATATATATATATATATATAATAGTTGAGCTCAATATAAATATATATATATATATATATATTTTTATATATATATATATATATATATATATATATATTATATAAGCAAAGGTAAGGTAGACACTTGCAGGGATTTCCAATGGACTTTTCTTAATATGGGGTGAGGCCCAACAAAATGGCAGCATAATAAAAATCCCTGTGTGTACCTACCTTACCTGTGCTTGTGCTACTTATCTTGTATGGAGCACCTAGGCATATGCACAGATAGAGTATTCATACAATTTTCCAACTACTAATATACAGTATATACTTTATAGATACACACTTTTGTGCACATGGTAGTGAATTGTGTTTTTATTGTTAGTGAAAATTGCTTCTTTTGTGTATACTTTGCAGATGGCTATACGACAGATGACATTGAGTTCTACTGGAGAGGGGGTGATAATGCTGTAACTGGTGTTGAGAGGATAGAACTTCCTCAGTTTTCCATAATAGATCACAAGTTGGTGTCCAAGAATGTTGTGTTTGCCACAGGTAAGAATTGAAACTTATTATATAAATCTCCTTCTCCTCTCCATATTTCATAGGTCAAGTCATGTTTGTTGGTAGCTGTCGATCAATTCATACATTGCAGAAAGAAGAAAATTATTGGTTAGAGAGGGTAAAAACAATGATGATGCAAACAATACAGTAACTGATAAAAACCAATCAGTTATAGGTTTCATGTATTAAGGTAATTTAAAAACAAAATTCTTATTTATTGTTATGAGCTACTGCTTTTCTGTATGCTCATCATTATGGTTCATATTAAATAAAACAATATGAATTTTAGAGCTATGGTACAACATATGATTTGTTATGTGACATTATGCACTGTTTAACCACTTGCCTACAGGGCACTTATACCCCCTTCCTGCCCAGGCCAATTTTCAGCTTTCAGAGCTGTCACACTTTGAATGACAATTGCGCGGTCATGCAACACTGTACCCATATGAAATTTTTATCATTTTTCTTAGACAGATAGAGCTTTATTTTGGTGGTATTTAATCACCTCTGGGTTTTTTATTTTTTGCTAAACAAACCAAAAACTACTGAAAATTTTGAAAAAAAAACAAAATGTTTTTTCTTAGTTTTTGTTATAAAATTTTGTAAATAAGTGATTTTCTCCTTCACTGATGTGCGCTAATGAGGATGCACTGATGGGCACTGGTAGGTGGCACTGATGGACATTGACAGGCATCACTGATGGGCACTGAAAGGCAGCACTTATATATGGCACTGATAGGCGGCACTGATAGGTGGCACTGATAGGCGGCACTGACTGGCACTGATAAGCAGCACCGACTGGCACTGTTAGGTGGCACCGACTTGCACTGTTAGGTGACACTGATAGGCAGCACTGACTGGCACTGATAGGTGGCACTGATTGGCAGCACTGATAGGTGGCGTGACTGGCACTGATAGGTGACACTGAAAGGCAGCTCAGATGGGCACTGATATGTGGCATTGATGTGCACTGGTAGGCACTGATATGTGGCATTGATGTGGCACGGATGGGCACTGGCAGGTGGCATTGATGGGCACTGACAGCTGGCATTGATAGACACTAACAGGTGGCACTGCTGGGGCTACACTGATCATCAGGGCACACTGATCATCAGTGCCCTGATGACCAGTGTACATGTCCCCTCTGAGGGATGCCATTTACTGACTCTCCTCTCCTCTTTGAGCTGTCAGCGTGACAGCTCGTGAGGAGAGAAATGCAGATAATGCTATTTACATGTGATCAGCTATGATTGGACACAGCTGATCACATGACCAAGCCGACATCTTCAGCTCTTTCCATTGATCGGTGATCCACTGGGTTTCGAGGGATACTGATCGCCATGCTGCGCGCCCCCAGAGCAGCGCATGCGTGGTTACATTGGGAGGACGTCATATGACAACCTCCCAGAATGAGAGAACCGCCTTGCACCTGTCATTACCTTATATGGTGGGAGGGAGGCAGTTAAAAAGCACACCAAAAAGGCACCTCCCCTTGAAATCAGTGAACAACGAAAAAATGCAATGCAGTTGCATTTGTGGTGTGCTTTTTGAGTCACATATTTCGCAGGTGCATGTTGGGAGTCATACAACCAGAAACCATACCAAATATGTATCAAAAACGCATATACATTTTTACTCCATTTTTTTCAGTGGAGCAGTGTGAAAGGGCCCAAATGCACAGTGAAACTCTGGTAATTTATTTAATATCTGTGAGGCTTATACTGTACTATGCAGAACTGCAGCAATGATCAAATCAGCAGTGGTAATCAATGGACATGTTATATCCTTGTGTAGAGAATAGAAGACTATATATATATATTTATAAATGTAACAGTGTGTAAAATAAGTATTGAACCCGTCACCATTTTTATAGGTAAATATACTTCTAAAGGTGCTATTGACATGAAATTTTCACCACATGTTGGTAACAACCCATGCAATTCATACATACAAAGAAACCAAAACAAATATGTTCAGAAATTAAGTTACATGTAATAAAATAGAATGGCACAGGGAAAAAGTATTGAACACGTTAAATTAAATTTATTTAATACTTCATACAAAATCATTTGTTGATAATGACAGCTTCAAGATGCCTCCTGTATGGAGAAACTAGTTGCATGCATTGCTCAGGTGTGATTTTGGCCCATTCTTCTACACAAACATTCTTCAAATCTTGAGGTTCCGTGGGCCTCTATGAACTCTGATCTTTAGTTCTTTCCATAGATTTTCTATTGGATTCAAGTTAGGTGATTGGCTGGGCCATTCTAGCAGCTTTATTTTCTTTCTTTTATTAAACCACAAAATATTCTTTTACTCAACAATCAAAATAACATATTACATACACACAGTTAAAAATAAACTTGGCCAAGTACTTTAAAGAAACCAAATATAAACTGACTCCCTCCTATTTAACAGAAATTGCCTATAAAGTACTATATAATATGAGCAAAAATATAACAACCTCTTATATTTCATTATTATGGATTAGAGGTCAGGATGCAACCATCTGATATGGGTTAGAACTCCTTGATGGTTAGTCATATACTTAAAGTGTCATTCATTCTAATGTGTCTAAAAATGGGTATCTTCATGCAATGAACTGATAAGGTTAGGCAAATTAGCGGCAGGATTTAATCAGCACCTCCTATGTACATTGGAAGATATAGGTAGACCATCCCATAGTCATCTTTATGCTGTGGATCAGTGTAATCATGCACATCCCATGCATTCAAATTGGTCATGCAGGAAAAAGTAAATTTTTTTTCAATATACCAGATACCTCACTTAAGCATACAGTGCAAGCAATTTAAGAAAAGCAAATGTTTTGTAAGGACTATTGACTATGACCTATCCCAATGCACACAGGTGTCCTTATAATAAACCATACGCAAATAAATATCAGCACACACTTAAAATATGAAAAGTTTCAGAGATCCCTTTTCAACTCTGTCCTTAGAGAGAATGCATATGTCAAAGTGTTAATAAAACCACTTAGACTTGCACCTGGATATTAGCTAATTAATTGACTTTGCATACATTATCTAATTTTTATGATTTTTATGATTTTTTTTTTACCACCGTTCAGAGCATTTCAAAACTAAATATCAAATGAGTGTTACACTTTTTATTCTGTTTTCTGTCTACTCATGGAAACATAGTTTTAAAAATAAAATCCCAGAAGCCATGATTTTCAAGTAGAAATGTTAATGGGTTACATTTAGTTCAGTTAAAAAAAATATTACAGACCCAAAGGGAAAGAAAAGGGTGCCAGGCATTTTCACAATGAATTCAAATAAAAAAAAATGATCTTGCCATTTTTACAATACTGATTACTATCAGTAAAGAATTTAAGACATTTTATTCATGGTTTGGAGCAGTTTGTTTCTTCTATGTAAGTTATCTCTGAAAAAGGTACGAATCATCCATTGACTTTCATCATGGAGTTTAAAAAAAAGATTTTTGACAGAATGCTGAAACAGGCATTTTTATGACTGTGAACAAGTGAGCTATTTTTTAAGGCATTATGAAGAATTTGGTCAAGGGAAATCTTGTGTTTTTTTTTTTAATCCAAAGAGCTTTTACTGTCCAAAAAGAAAAATTGGACCAATGCATACAGGATATAGAATAAAATAAATCAACATATTATACAGTGCTAACCGATGGATGTGCAGATCTATAGACATTTGAAAACAGCAGTCAATAAACATATACAGCATTGGAATATAGGGAGCCATAACAACAATAACAAAACATAACATTAAAAACAATAAACAGGTCACCTGGGGCACAAACAGAGGGATATGTATCGGTGTCTACATAGAGGTAGGGTATCACACTTGTAACAGCCTGTCCATTATAAATTGAGATGGGACAAGCCCAGGTATATCTAGCCAGCCTTGCCAGACAGTCTGAAATTTCCAATGGGCATTACGATGTTGGTATGTGAGTAGTGACTTAACATAGTCTATCCATTGCTTTCTGATTGGTGGGATAGAAGAGAGCCATTGTCTAGCAATTCATTTCCTGGCCAGATATAGTAGTCTAGAAACCATAGTAGACTCTTGGTTGTAGTGCTTCCTGATCTAAAGCACCTAGTAGGCAAGTTAGAGGGTCCTGAGGAATGATGTATTGTGATGCTAGGGAAATTGTCTGTAAGACCTCTTTCCAGTATCTGTTCAATTTTGGGCAATGCCAGATCATATGGATAAAGTCACCCCTGTGTACCTTACATCTTGGGCAATTGGGAGAGTCTCTCCTGCCCCACTGTTGCAGTTTTATAGGAGTCCTATAAGCACGGTGGAGAATAAATAATTGTGATAATTTGAGAGAGGCAGAGAGAGAGAAATCACTGGTACAGATTCCAGGGCAGCATCCCAGATGTCACCAGCAATCTCCCTGATATCTTAGGCCCATTGTGTTCTACTATGCAAATTGGCAGGATCTTGTAAAGTAGCCAATAATTGTGAATAAATACAAGAAAACGTGCCCTTTTTGTGTGTCGCCTGAGTTATATTTTAAACAGAGTGGATTCCGTCAGTGTGAGGTTAGAGAGGAGAGATTGGGCTTGATGTATTTGAAGGTACTGTTTGTGGATATGTGCAAATTCATTTTGAAGCTGTGCAAAGGACTTTAATGTTCCCCCAGAATACAGCTGAGCCACAAATTTCAATCCCTTCTCCCTCCAATTTTGGAAACCCTCTAGTTTAGCTAATTCTGCATATTTAGTGTAATTACCCTACTAGGTGCTGAAGGTGAGCTGCCAAGAAATATATCCTGGGGTCAGGAACCGCTAAGCCCCCTGAATCCTTGCCATACTGTAAAGTGGATAGCTTAATCCTAGCCATCTGTTTTTTCCAGATGAGGGTTCTGAACTGAGTTTCTATGCAGTAAAACCATTTCTTAGGAATCCATACAGGAGAACTGTGAAATACATAGAGTTGTGGGGCCCATACCATTTTAATTAAATTTACCCTCCCCATGACAGTTAGGGGGAGTTTACACAAGTTGTTACACTTTGATTTATGTTTTTGGAGCAGGGGTAAAAGATTAAGGTTTAAGTATTGTCTCAGATTAGTTGTGACCACCACTCCCAGATACTTCAATGAGGTAACTATTTGTATCTGCTGCACGCAAACTGGAAGGGAAAGATCTACAGGGTCTAAGGGCATTAGGACCAATTTATGCCAGTTGATTTTAAATCCTGAGAAAACACCAAAACGATCTATTAGAGACATAACATTATCTAGGGATTTGGAGGTGTCACCCAAGTACAGAAGGGTGTCATCTGCATAAAGGGGTATTTTTTCAGTAAGAGTTCCTCTGTTGACTCCCACAATGTTATACTTCTTTGCCCTTTACACATTGGGATCCTTCCACGTACCCCCCCCGTAAGTTATCCAGTCTACTGTTCCCACCTCCCCTCTTCCACCCCTTTTACTCCTCACCCTCTACCACAAACACCCCAATCACAGTTTTCCCATCCTTAACCTCCCTGGCGGTATTCCCGAGTGTAGCTCGGGGTAACATTTCAGTACCAAAAAGCGGTAACCCCGAGCTACACTCGGGAATACCATGCGGCACTGCTCCGGCATGTGTTCTTCACTTACCTTACCCTGCGCTCCCACGATGTGTCCCCTGCAGCGTCCCCGGCCATCTCCTCCGGCCGATGCCGGCATCCGGCTTCTGTGTCCTGTCCCTGTGACGTCGGGACGTACGGGCGCCGCCGGCGGCGGCGGCGGGAAATTTAAAAGTTTTAAAAGATGTCATTTTTTTTTTTTTTTACATTTTACATAGTAAAACATTGCTGTCTCAACCAATTTCACATACATATTGTCCCTAGTGCTTTGTCCTGCGCCCTGCCTGCATTTTGTCTGTTCTTTCTGCCTGGAAACTGAGCAATGTCCATGGCGTCCAAAAAGTGTCCCTTTAGGTCAAAAGCGATTTAGACCAGCTAGAGAACAGCGATAGTAAATCAGAACCACTTGCAGAATTGAGTGATAATGATTCGTGGGGGAAATTCGTCATCAGACACTGAAAACGATTTTGCGACTGAGCTCAGCAATGTGCGAACTTGGCGCTATATTTCACATTTTCAGTGTTTTTGGTTTGATTATATTATTGAATTAAATCTTTTATTATTTTTATATATTATTTTTATGATTATTTATTAAATTATAATTTATGATTTTGTGTTTCAAATTTTATCATACCCGGGATGTTTACTAGACTCTTGTTCGGACAGATTTCAGTGAGTTTTTCCTAAAAATTACAGCCTACAATAAAAAAAATACATATTTCCATGCAAAAAAATGGTACCGCTTTCAGCACCAAAAATCTGA